TTATTAATTTTTTATAAAAGTTTTTTATGCTTTAGAATTACTAGGTAAGGCAATATACTGTTAAAATATATACATAATTGCATCACTTGTCAATGATTATATCCTATATATTATTATATAGTGTAAATAGAGTCACTATTATAGTGAGTATAATTAAACAAGAATTCTTTGGTTTGTTAAAATTTACATAATTGCTGTTAAAATATCGTATTTTTAATGTAAAAGTATACAGACCGAGACTCGGTCACCGAGTGCACCCTAACACTTTAAGTAACTTCAGGTGAATCATCTTTTAAAGTAAATTAACTCAAGAATTACGTAATAAAACATTTAATTTTCTTAGTTTTTTTAAGAAACTTTCTTGATCCATTACTGGTAATATTCATAGGTCTATTTTTTTTTATTACGTAATGAGTTTAGCTGACTTTGGCAAAACCGAATGCTGCTGTGATGCAAGTCAGATCATTGATTTTATACCTCTAAAAACAATGATTAGATGTACACAACAAAAATAAAACCTCATTTTTAAACATGCAATATTGTTTAATTATAGTATAATTATTATACCTGCCTACGATGGTTCTTTTTGCAGGAATTTGGAAAAGGTTGGTGCTAGTACTCGATTTTCCGCCGCACGCGACCTTCTTTTGTTTTTATAACAAGTTCCTGAATCTTTTTTGCGTTTTACAGGCATTTTATACTTCTAATTATCAAACTACTTTAGCAATGCACTGATTTTACAAGCCCAATCGTGATATAATATTTGTCAATTATTAATTGTCAATTGTCAAACAAAAGTAAGTATAGAAAACTACAGGATGTGATTGAAGAAACGAATGAAAGAAAGCGCCTTTTTTAAATCTTTGTAACAAAGATATTAAATTATCTAAACTGCATTTCTCGAGCGTAATTTTTAATTCTTGATTATTATTATTCTTGATTATCATTAACAAATCGTAAAAATGCCGCCCCCCCTATTATGCCGCTCTGGGCCGTTGCCCGGTTCGCCCGTACCTCGGGCCGGCCCTGCGCAGACTGCGCCGCATAGCGGAAAGGTGCGGACAGAAACAATTCGTACGAGTTCACGGCTTTGTTGAAACAGGAGGGTATTTAGGAAAATTTTAATTCAATAAATCGAAGTACCTATAAACAATTAAATAATATTATTTTTTTATTTAATTTCATGCCTCATTTTTTTAACATGTGGGTAATATGTTTTTTGCTTACACATGTCGAAGCCAATCGGGGGCCCCCCTAGCCGGGGGCCCCGTATCACTGATACGGCTGATACCGCGGTAGCTACGCCCCTGAGTAGAGGTGACATTGCTCGGAAGTCACATGCAATGTCAATGTCATTGTTTAGTTTACGAAAAAAATGACAAAAAACTAAAAAATTTAACTTTTTTCAAGAAACTTTAAATAAAGATTTAGAGTTCAATGGATGATGCATTCATAGTTAACTAATCCATTTAAATCTTGACTGTGATCAACAAAATTCAAAGGGGCTCGAAAAGAAATATTTAAAATGTATAAAATCGGTAAAATTTGGATTTTTTAAATGAAATTTGTCGATAAACTATGGTAAATAATAAATTGCACCAATTAAATTTATATTATATTTATTGGGGGCGCCATGGAGCCGGTACGGCCGAGCAAAAAGTTATCTTTTTTTCGCAAACTTCAATTTAAATTCTGTTTGGGCAGAACTTGTTTATTTTATGCCATTATAAACTCATATAAATTTGGTGTGGCCCATTTAAAATAATTGAGATATCGGTATACCCAAAATCCACCAGCCGCCACTGATACCCGCCACCGCTTTGCCAAACACTTATAACTATTGGGTATACAGGAATGTAGTTAAACACCCTGTATAGAGTGTCAGGGGTAACAATGTGCCAATTTGAGCTTAAACGGGCCATTGTAGCTTGTAGCAAATGTAATAAAAGCATTTTTATGGAGGCTCCCATCTGCTGTTCTATCTTCGCGCTAATAAAATTACGGACTCCATTTTTGAAGCGGCTGCCTCCGGCGCGCAATTCAATTTAAAAGTCATTTGTACTATGCACGAATATTGTTAGCCTCGTTAATAATAATAATAATTTCATTTAGTACTCAAATCCTAACAGAAGATTACTTACAATGTCGCCCGTTTAGCGTGTAGGTCGAGCCGCTACACGACTTTTAACTTTTTTAAATAGAAGCGTCACTTCGTTTTTTATCAAGGCTTGTTTAACGTTACATACTTTATTGCTTAATTAATTTGGCACTTCTTTAAGACAAAGGATCTCATAATTAAATTGTTCTAGGAACTAGGATTTTTGATAAATTATTGTAATGTATAAAAATTACACTATTGTTTATGCAGGGTCGGATTAAGAGTTTTGAGGCCCTTGGCCGAATTTGGGGGGGGGCCCTCAATATTTCTAAAAAATTTGACATTTTTAAGCTAGAGGAACTTTACGTGATTGTTTATTATCCTTGAATCATTTAGGTATTATTTAATAAACCATATAAATTTTAATAAAATCGGCCAAAGCGATTTTAAGCTATAAATAAAAATATAAATTGATCTATGTTTTGTTTGTATTTTTAATACTTACCGCAAACTGAAAAAAATGCATCAAAAGTCGTATATTTGTCTGTTTTTCATACAAAATCAAACAATAAAACAATCTTTTGTCCAAAGAAAAGCACGAAACAGTATTTCGGAATCACCGGAAAATATTCCACAACACTCCAATGTACCTACCAATAAAAATCTGGGACAAAAACTAACTTATTAAGTTATAAGTAATTGACTGATTGCCTGTATCTACAAAAACGTTACGACAAGCACTAAAGGAGCAACTGATTAAAATTGTTATGAGTCATAACTTATGACTACAGACTTTATAAAAACGTCTTCGCGCGCCAAAACTTTGCGTGTGATAATTTACATTCTGATTTGCAAGCGGATAAGCGATAAAAAATCCGCGAAAAATAAGACTTAGATCTACGAAAAATTAATTGAAAATTCCAGGATTCGCGCGGTATAACCGACCCAGTTTTTTCGACAATTTTTTTCATATTCGTTTCATTAAAAAGCTACATATTGCATTGGTGGGGGCCCCTAAATGGTGGGGGCCCTGGGGCCGTGGCCCCGCTGGCCCCATGCTAAATCCGGCCCTGTGTTTATGGAAAAATCGAAATAGGTACAATACCTACACCTACTCGCTAAAAATGAATTAGTCAAAAATGACTACAGTTACCTATAACAACAACTATAGTTGCTGCTTTTTCACTTATACCATGGTATACCATGGTATAAGTGAAAAAACAGCATACCATCCCATTGTATATATACAATGGGATGGTATCCCCGACATAATAGCCAATTTTTATGTAAAATTGTCCGCATAATCCGAAAATGTCGTTAAAAGTTATAAAAGTAGAACAGTTTTTGAGATATAGTCAATTTTACATATAATATGGAATTGACTATATCTCAAAAACTGCTTTACTTTTATAATTTTTGACTATCTCAAAAACTGCTCTACTTTTATAATTTTTTACTATTATGACGGGGATACCATGGTATCCCATGGGATATCATCCATGGTATACCATGGTATAAGTGAAAAAGCAGCCACTAATAACAGTTACTGTAGTAATTAGTCATTCATTCATTTTTAGAGAGTACAATTGTTTTTACGTTTTTTATCTGAAAAGTAGTAAATTCAAAATTACATCAAAACTTAAGAATAAGGTATAGGTATTGTATTATTTTTAGAAAATAAGACAAAATTCGCGTTAAACTGATATAGATATAGATAATCTCAATTACCTATTTGTATTCAAATGTCAAGGTGGGACTTTTAAGTTTGAAGCATTAGGTCTTTCTATTTAACAGACGGATAAAAACAAACTCAATTGAAACGCGCGATCGAGACATTTGCAGGTGGCCAGCGCGGTCCTTAGTGGTGTTGGTGATATATGCCAATATTCTCTCCAGGGCCGAATTCAGTAATTTAGTGCATCGAGGTATTTCGGTTGTTTACTTGATTTCGCTGCATTTATTTCTGTTTTTTCTTATTGGCGATTGTTATTATTAGGTACCTAGTGTTTTTCCCTAATAAATTTATATTTTTGTTTGAATATATTTAGCTTTAAAAACGGACTGTTTAGGTTTTCGCGAATATCAGGTGCGTGATTTTATCAATTTTAGTCTCTTTTAAATGAAAAGTCCATTTTTAAAGCCAAGTATAGTACCTATACCTAGGTATATATAGTAAGTAGGTAATTGAAACAATAATAACAAGGTAAACCTATTATTTTTACTCAAAACTCACATATCTTCTTAAATAATGAAAGTGGAATTTTTTTAACAATTTTCTGGGATCTGTAGATCATACACCTTTTGGGACACCTTGTATACTTAGGTACCTATACCTATAGTAGGTTCATATATGTATCTATATAAAAAGAAAAACACAAGTCAAATACCTATTTATTAAAAAACTATTTATTTAGATACTTTTTTAATATTCAAAATTAAAATCTATTAAAGTTGATAACCTAAGAGAAAAAAATATTTTAATAATAACCAATTAAAATTGAGTAAAGCTCATTGTTGGCATGGGAAAGGAGAAACCTTAAAATCCTCAGTTATTAATTAACAACAAGAAGCAAAGAAAGCCATCCGCATCAGGGCTACACCTAAAACCCAAAACCGAACTTAATAAATCGCCTTATTGGCGCGACCCTACTCTCAAAACAAGTAGCAATAGCACTTTGCTCAACTTAATTCGCGACTATTGACACCAATTTGCAGCGTTTACACCCGTGAAATTCACAGCGCACAGGGCTTATTAGCGTTGGCGGGCTTTTGCTTGCCTCACTTCGCGGACATCCATGATGGAAGACCCAGCCCGCTCATTGGCCGAAAGCTCATCTGACGCCGCCCCTTGCAACGCCCCCTGCCGGCCGAAGCGTGGCCTGACGGTTCAGTCAAACGTTAACGCGTGATGGATACAGATCGGTGCTGTGCCGGCGAAGAAACAAACGCCATGCTGTACGGCCATCTGGATGTGAAGCCGAATTTAAGGTTGGCGGCGACGAGTCCGCATCCCGGACCGCGGCATACGATTGATAACATTTTGGGGTTGGTGCGCAAAGACGACCAAGATGGTAGGCCGATAACTCCCGGAAACGTCGAAAGTGCCGGTAAGGAAACATCTACTTCTTTACCTAAATTTTTGACCAGGTTTTTCCCATTACTTCATGCTACCTTAAAAATCAAGATTTAATAAAGAAACTTTTAATTTATACAATTTTGACTCAAAATTAAAAAGCAGACATTTTAAAGAAACATTAAGCATTATGTCCTTTTTTCCTCAATGCCTAACAAATTATCTAAATATCTCTAACTTGCAGAAAGTCTCTTAAGAAATCAAAATTTAATTTGCTTTATTTGAAACCCTTGGTATTTTATAAAACACTTTCGGATATTCGGAGGAAAAGGATTTTTCTCATTTCAGAATTTAATCAAGAAAAGTAGTCCTTTAATAAAATTATTTACATACCTAATCCTTATAGGTAACTACTTTTTTTAAATAATTGATATCTTCACAATCCTTTATTATACAAATAAAATTGCCTACATTATAAGGTTTTTGTTCATTTTGACATCCTTTGGTAAAAGATTGAAAACTGAAAATAAACAAATTCATAAAATACACCATTTGTACTCGAATTATATATTTTAAGAAACATTTAGTCTACTAGATAATTTATATAAAATTAAAAAAGTAATTATTTGCTCTTCAAGTTTCCTTTAATACAATGTAGACTATGGCGGCTTCTTTGACATGTCTAAGCAATAGTTTTTGGATTATTCTTGTAGACTCTGCTCTTACCCCGAAATAAAAAAAAATCTGCAGGAGTTAAATCATCTTTCTTTTCATTTAAAAATGTACACCTTGGTCTCGAATTCATTCGGCAAACACACGGCACTGTTGATGGTCGCGAAGCTTCAATGCTGGTTTATTTGGAGTTTGCATCGGTGTAGCTGCAAATATTTTTTAAACCTTGTTGTCTAGTGAAGTACGTAAGGCAGAGTGGCTGGTCAATTATACCCAGGAACTTAACTTAACTAGCCATTATTAGTTACTAAGTAAATCAGTCGGTATATATACGAGGTGTGTTCAGAAAATATTGGGAATTTTCGTTTTTTGATACAAATATTTATTTATTCGTCTACATTAATGTTGCCGCCTTCAAAATAGTCCCCATAGGATATTATGGACATGTGCCAGCTCTTTTTCCAATACTACTAAACACTACTAAAACTCGATCTTTGGGATAGCCTTTAGTTTTTTCAGCGATGCGCTTTTATGTCATCTATGCTTGCAAAACGACGGACCTTTAAGGTTGTCTTTATTTTTGGGAATAGGAAAAAGTCAGACAGAGGCATGTCTGGCGAATATGGAGGCGGGGCATCATTACAGTACATATTGTTTTTGGCCAAAAATGTTGTTCAAAATTTAACTATTTTAGAACAAATTTTACTGCCACGCGTTTCATACCCAAAACATTCGAAAAAATTTCATGGGATGAGCCAATCGATATACCAACATCATCAGCGACTTCTCTGATGGTTTATAACCATTTCTTCCACTTTTTCCATGTTTTCATCGGTTGTTAATGTGCTTGTGCGTTGGGAGCGTTCACATCTTCAACGTCTTCACGGCCATCTTGGAAACTCTTATACCACTTGTAAACTCTTGTTTTACTTATAGCAGACTCACTATAGGCCTTTGTTAACATTTCACAGAATTTATTTTATTTTTTAAGCAAAATTGGATACAAATTCTTTGATCCATTTCTTTTAACGAACGAAAAATCGCCGAGCTCATAAAACACGTCTAACCTTAGCGGCTGCCACACTCAGAGAAATATCAAGTTATGAAAAGCATATAAAATTATATTAATTTAAATAATCTGGTAAATTTGATTCAAATAGAAAAATTTGTAGTTTTATATTCATTTACCAACAATTTTACAATGTTTGTAAACACTTTTAAAGTGTACCCTCTTTAAAATATATATACAAAAAGAAATCCATTTATTTCATTGCCTTTCTCAAAGTTGTTTCAAAAAGATATGTATTATACAATTGTTATGCACCTATTAATTTAATGGGACACACCAATGACGCCAAAACATATTTGAATTATTATCGTTTTGAATGATTCTACAACATTTTTTCTCTCAGTGCACAGACAAAGTAAACAATGAAAACAGCTAAAGTTTTTATCAAACTTCGGGGGCATGTATACCAACATAATAAAGAAAATTTTATGACAACCGGACCCTCCGAACCCGCGAAATTTAACAATTCCCGTTATTTTCTGAACACACCTCGTATAGTTATCAAGCGTGCGTAAGCAACGGTGAGAGGTATTGCAACTAAACTAATGAATGTGCTTAGAGGGTGTTTGGAAGTTTTAGAGGATTATTCTATGAAATATTCCAAATGAATATTCCTAGAATGAAGCGAATTATTCCTATATGCGATAGGGCATATTCATGAAATATTTTCGAACCTTCATCGCAGTCTGGGAAATGAACCTCTCAGAAAGTCGATTAGGCCCACCAAAAAAAACGCATTTTTTCTTGATCGCCCATTTTCATAAAGGGCGCGTTGCTCCATAACTAAATTTGTTTATGTTTCTAGGTTATAGATCTCACATTGCTGTTAATAAATATAGTGGCGTTTCAAAAATATTTTAGACTGTATATAATGTGGAAACCACAGACCTGTGGTGGAAACTCAATTTGAATGGCCCTTTATTTGAGGATGTTTTGTCAAAAAGGTTTTGCAACCAAAATCAGGCTTTACAAAAACCGTTTTTATTTTAGACGTGTACACATGGACTATCAAAATGAATATGTCAAGATTCATTTAAAATTATCAACTTTCCAATTGTCATTTTTGAATTGCCAGTTTAACTAAATCTTGTAACAAACAATAAGGCACGAGTCGTTACTACAGAAACTACCTGTTTAGAGCTACCTACTTAATTTCCTTCAGATCAAGATAAAATATTAAAAAAGTATAACAAGCATTAAGTGCCTTTAATTTTCACTTTTAGGTAATAATAACTTTTCATTCAATTGAATTAATTCCAGATTGCAGATACAAATGATGTGGTTTTGTGTCTATAACTTCTTAATATAATTTTAAAACCCGTGTTTAGCACGAGAGTTCGCCTAATTGATAAAATAATGCTTGATGGTTAACTAGTAATTTGCACGAAATACAAAAATGTAATTTAGTTAGGAAGCGGCGTGTTTTATGTACCTATCCTTATTGTTACACTAATTAATATTTTATATATAATGAAACTAATATTTTTTCATGATAAAATGTATTATACAAACTAATGAACATCAATTAACTTAATTCGGATTAATAATTCCATTAGGTACCTATACAATAATGATTATTTCATTTTTAATTTATGTTACCCACATTGAAAAGCTAAGAGAGAGATCCACTGATATGAAAATGGTATTAGCATTCAAAAGGACTACCGGTTGTAATAGAATAAATTGAGAGAAGATCTTTTTTCATGATGCTTAGGTACTTTTGGAGTTGTAATTAATGGAAGCTGCTTGTCATGAATGAATAAAGAAGTCAATAGTATTAATACGTTTTTATATGATTTAATATGGACAATCAAATGCAAAAAGTTATACCTTGTAAACAAGGTGTCCAGATTCTTTGAGAATGAATTTCTAGGTAGAGTTTTTTTAATAAATATATAATCTAGGTACTTTGATAAGCAATATTTGGAAGTTTTTTTGGTGTGATAGAGCTAAGCACTCCAGACACCAATTTTGATAAGTCAAAGTTGAATAGTTTTCAAATTCCATTATGAAAATATTAACGTTTAATAAAAGCTCACACCTCGACTCCCACTGCACACAACATCTAGGCCTCTGTTTGTCGATTTATAGAAAATGTTAAGTAAAAATCTTAGTTTACGATCTATATACATATATACACAGGATGTCCTAGAAGTAGGTAACGCAATATAACCTATAGGTTTATCTTGTTTATATTGTTTCAAGTCTTATATTATAGGTTAGGCTATTGTAAAGAATCAGAATATCTTATGTGAAAATGCATATTAGGATTTTTACTTTAACAGTATTATTATTATTATTATTGTTATTATTATTATCATCTGCTGACATCACAAAATAGACAATGATTGACAGTTAAAATTTAAAATTAGATTCTGTTAGCATTTTTGTTTAATATTGATATGTATTCCTTTAGTAAGTATTGTGATATGTATGTTGTGTTTGAAGAATGCTTAAAAATGCAAGTCATTTAGCCTATGTGTGACAATGTAATGTTAGTATTTGTTTTTCTTTTGTCAAGTCCAATGTGAAATAAAGAACCTCTTAGTAAAAGTAACGAATTTCGTTCATTTTGACACTTTGTAATGTTGTTGTTTATTGTCATGATGATTAAGAATGAAACTACCACTTTTTATTACGCAATGTTGCCATTTAAACATACGTTTCCCCAGTACCTTTTTATAAAACGAATGTCAATTTTTCTGGGGTCCATAAATCATACAACTTAAAGGTGGTGCGCTTCTTCAGGGACACCCTGTATATATTATAACATACTATGCTTCACATTAAAAAGTCTCACTTTTTTAATACCTATAGGTATATGTATACATATTAAAAGAGTAGACAAGTAGGTAACGCCTATATTGTTGTGTTTTGAAGTGAAGTGTGCCAAAAGTGAACCATAATGTCATTGTTAACTTGTCAAGTTCTTTAACTAAATTTCCCTGAACATTCTCTTTTTTTTAAGATGGCCATCCTTTATAAACACCTTTGATTAATTGTCCAATTATTCTTAAAAATCAAGTCCCTTTACGAAAAACCCTTATTTGAATATCGAATTTTATATTCCTGCAAATTTAAAAAAGAACGTAAACTGTTCATGAAAGAAACATGAGAAGAAAACGGGATATTTAAATTTTTAAATTGGTTGTATGGAGAGGAAATTCGACGCACGTGAAATTCTTCTCTTCTTTCCCCTCACAATTGACAGGCATCAAAACAGTTGACAGGGAATTATTTTTGATAGGATTACCAATTTTGACAAATAGGATCAAAGGGCATTAATTGTTTGT